GCAGACTGGTAGTTCATCATTCGTGAGACAGAAAAAGTAATCATTGCTCAGGAGGACAAAGCGACCAACAAAATTTGAAAATGGATCCTTGACCTTACTGAGGGATTCAACGTTCGGTCGTTCAAGTCGAGTACTGACTCAATAAGTGGTAGCCGGACTACTTGCAAATGACATTCACACCAAAGTTAGAAAGGTAGTGACGTCATCGCTAGAAAAGTGTGATGCTAGCTCTACTTGAGGTTTGGGATATTCGCATTTCTTTGCTTGCAGTCAGCATGCGGTGGAATGAAAGAACTTGGCAACGCATCTTATCAAGTCGAAAAAGTCGTGACAGTCCAACCGTCTGACAAGTAGAGTGTAGGTACTTTAGTCGGATGCCTTTTGAGCTTCGCATCGTGTATAAGTCATGCTTTTGTCCTTTTGTTGATAAGTGATGTGAGAAGGCGAGTCAACTCACGTGTGTCGTCGTTGGATGAAAGTAAAATCAACCCTTGTCAAATTGATCGGGACGAATGGTATGCATGATTGTATTACATATAAGTTGATCTCATAATATATGTCAGCTTACGTTGACCTGAGTCTTCCTTTGATATTTAACTTTTGATTGTCTTTGGAAGAAGGGACTAGGATTGATTGAGGTTTTCTTACGCTTGGAATATCACGTCCTAGTCGACCAACGTCGGTCCGATTCCTGGGAGATCAGCCTCCTCGATCGGCCTACCTCTGCAATTGCATTATAAAAGCTTTCGCATGCGGGTCGGTAGCTTGGTAGGGATACGCCCCTAAGGGTGGTGACAGCCCCTTAGGGAAGGTAAGTTGTGCCCCGCGAAAACCTGTCTTGTCGTAGGGGACCGCGGGATGTACAACTGGCGCACGCGGTCGGAGTGGCGAAGGGTCGACGCGGGTTACCGTGTCGTCCCCGAGTTGTCTCTAAAACGTTGAAAGTCTAAGATTCTCCTGCGTGACGCGGCCGGGAGGGCCCTGGCTCGCGCGGGGCCCGATGCGCTCGACACCGTCGTCCGTAGATATAGTGTCTGAACGTGTCTAGACACCGCAGAACAGCTAACACTTCCTTCTTGAATTGACTGTAGTTACGCTCAGCAGTATTATGTGTTCTACTCTCAAATCTTAACGGTCTCTCCTTTCCTTCAGCGTCCTTCCGAGATAGCAGACCACCAACTGAACAAGGTCCAGCATCCGTGGATATCACGAAGGGTCTCTTGGCCTCATCGTCAAAGAACGGCATGCCCTATACGCGTCCCCCTTCCTTAAATTCATCTTTAAGCTCTTGCATTGCGAGTTCCTGAGAAGAATCCAAGTAGAATTTCCCAGTCTTCCGAAGGAGCAGCCTCAAAGGCTGAGCCTTCTCTTCATACCTCCGTATGAAAATCTGCCAGTAGCTGACCACCCCCAGAAACTGCCGGACCTTGGTAGCACTATGCAACGGCGACGACCAGTTTAGGAGTTTGTCTCGCTTCGGAGGATCCGCTCGGCGTCCTCTCGAGTCGCAGATAAAGCCCAAAATCTTTGTAGTCGAGACGGCCCATCGGCTCTTTGTTCCGCTGACCGTCAAATTTACATCGTCTAACTGCTCGAGTATCACGCAAATATCGGTTAGGTGCTGCTCGACGAATCTCCTAACTCCTGGTAAAACTTTTGTCTCATCTTTCTCTACTGGTCCTTTTATAGGGAAGTCATCCAAAAAAACTTCAACCTTGTCAGGAATGAAGTCCTTAAGGACGGCTACCATGGCTCTCTGAAATACGGCTACCCCATTAGTCCAACCCATAGGGACGACCATCATCTGAATTAGTCCCAAAGGTGTGTGCATAGCCGCGAGGTGTTTGTCCCTGGGATCAGGGGGTACCTCATCATAACCTGAGAACAGATCACAGACCGAATAAATTGACCTGCCCGCGGCGCCTTCAGCCAGTAAGTCGGCATGAGGCACAGAGCCTACGTCCCGGATCGTCACCGCATTGATCTTCTGCAGGTCCTGGATCCACCGGATCTTGCCATTCCATTTTCGTAGGAAGAACCATCAATTAACATAAGCGCTGTCAGATGACTCTGCTACATGAGAAGCTATCTTCTCTTTCAGGAAAGCGATTAAGTCCTCCTTCTCCTTCTGGGCGTATTTCCACCCTGCGTCATTCCATGGAACGTGTGGAATCGTGTAAATCCACGCTGGTTTAGCGTAACGAGGGTCCACCCTTCCGCGCTCGGCGTTACTGAAAGCTATGGCCTTATCGTACGTTTTTAAGCCTTCTATGACACGTTCCCGCTCCTGTGGGGTTAGATTTCCATCTCCAATGTCCATTCTTACTATCCTCTCTTCCGTTAGGCGCTGCGGCTCTTTTTTTTCCTTTCTTTAATTTCCTCCGCGATCTCTCCTTCCGATATCCCTTCGAGCGCAGATCGCTCGCGGCCCACTGCTGCTGGCTTTACTTTCTGAGCCACTCTCTTGTGCCGCTTAGACTGCCCCCCATAGGGGGCTGTGCCCTTAAAAAAGATACAGATACTATGCCACCAAATTCCTCATCTGACTCCTTTGGATACGAGTTGCCATCCACTACCAGTCGGCTCCCTAAATCCTCCACTTCTATAATCCGGCCTTCTCCTTCCGTGAGCAGAGGTCCATACTTCTTCTCGCGAAATCGTACCGTGCGGCTGGAGATAGGTAATGACTTAATCCGATCACTGGGCCCAGCACCCACAGCGAGAGCTGCTCTGTTTCTCGGGTCTCGAGGCTCCACCGTCTCAATCATAACCCGAGTCCCATCTAGCTTCTTAATGGATAGCGTCTGGCTCCCGTCTGATCGCTCTATCGTCACTGCATGCACATGGCTCAGCCATGTCCGCTCCAAGAGCAGGTCGGAGCTGCAGTTCTTGACTGCAAAGACTGGCATGGTCATTTGTACTCCTTGAACCTCTATGGCTGCCTTGTGACAAACTCTTGTGATCTGTTGCTTCCTCCCATCAGCCGTCTCTATTTCGAATAAGTATGTCCTATCGAGCCCCAGACCAACTCGCTCTGCCAGATCCTCGTCTATGATGACAGCCTCACTGCCATTATCGATCACAGCATCTAGAACCGCTCCGTCGTCTAGGATCGCCTCCACGGTCCCACTACCAAGTATGTAAAACTTGTCCGGAGGCACGCCTTCCATCCCATTAAGAAGAACTGTCGCCATGCGATCTGCTCTTGCGGTCACCTCCGATACTGCTACAGTAGGAGCATCCGCGTTAGGGGTCACCTGAACCTCCTCTGATAGTGGAATGCGAGACTTTCGTGTAATCGTATGTAACTCGTCTCGAGCCGACTTGGATGCAGCCAGATATTCTAGTATAGAATATTGCATGGGCTGCCGAAGGGCCCGTCTCAGTGGCTCGACCGTGTCAATATCATCCAGCGAACTCTTCATCAAGAACTTCTTCACTCCCCGCTTTCGTGGTGAAAGAATAACCTCTTCTCCATCGATCCGCTGTCCGTCCTTTTCCGCCATCACATAATCTGTGTCAGTCTTCCTCGATGCAGAGCGTCTCGCCGACTTCGTTGCTGCCACCCTTATGGGTGCAGCTGCCATATCTCCTTCGAAAGTTATCCTGATGCTCTGACTCTTAACCGGCTCCTTTCCCTTACTCGGCCTCACTCTCCTCGCTTCTACATTCTCCTTCATCGAAGGAAACATTGATACGTCTCCCAAATCACCTGCCCACTTGACGTACTTGCGGTCATCAAGCACAACAAGTCCCTCATCTATTGCCCGTTTGAGATCTGGGCAATCTCTCTTGATATGATCATCTCCTGTACAGTAGACGCAAGAGTTCCTAGGAGTGGGTGGTCTATCGTCTACACTCCTCGAAATCGCCCCCCTCGCTGCTCTCGGGTCAGGGGACTTGGGATACGGTTCTGATGAGACACCATATCCCCCTCTGTCATTCCGGCCGCGCGAGTCATTGCGTCGGTCTCCTCCAGATCCTCCTTGGTCATATCGTCCCCGTGAATCATTCCGGTGGTCTCCATGGTCGTATCGCCTGCGTGAATCATCACGTCGGTCTCCTCGGTCGTACCTCCCCCACGAATCGCCGCGCTGATCTCCCGTGAATCCCCCGCGGTCATACCTTCCGCACGAGTCATCTCGACGATCTCCGACTCGATCCCCTCTCTCATATCTGCCTTGCCTGTTTCCATCTCGGTCCGACCTCTAGTATTTGTCATCCCTGTATCCGTCTCGTCGATCCCGGTCCGACTCTCATCGACCTCGTGGGTCGCTTCTACCCCCATCAGCCTCATGTCGAGGGTTGCGCGAGTAATCATCCCGTCGCCTTGCTCGCCCATACGTCTCGCGAACCCTGCGGTCCCGGTCTATCTCATCATCCCTTCGTCGCAATGGCTCATCGTCTCTCTCCCTTTCCCTTACTCGATAATCGGTTAGCGTTCGAGGATTTATATCTTCGACACTCCTCCAGGAATCGGTGTTCCTACGGTCCCACCGAAGTGAATTGGGCCCTCCGGGTTTGTCCCGGTATGCCATGGCTCCCGTATTGGTCACAATCTCTATAACCTGCCTTGTCAATCCCTTAACCATGTCCCTTATCTCCTTCACTTCCTTAGTTACTGCCTCATTCTTTTCCGACCAGGGATAGTCCTTGAAATCAGGGCATCTATCAGTGGCATACTCTTTATAGAGAGAGAAGTCTCGCCTCCTCATTCCTCTCCATACCAAGTCCTTGTAGTCGTCTGCCTCTGCCTTTATCGCGAGCTTTAGGACTTCAGGAAAGTCAAGCTTGTCGCGCCGGAGATCTCTGAGGATACTCTTCTATCTCCCTTTGGACAGGTGTCCAATAAAAATAGTACAACGCTCGACCTCTGAGATCTTTTCCTTCCCCATTTGCACGTCAGAGATCTTCTGGAAACGCTTCCCGAATGCCCTAACGCTCTCGTCCTCATCTTGAGTCATGGTCTCGAGGTCCTTGATGGAGTACTTGTTATCCTCCAACTTGTAAAGTTCAATGAGGTTCTTCTTATACGTGGTTCACTTTCCATCCTTCAGTCGGGCTTCCTTGACTTCCTTGCCGAGACTTGGATCTACATTAAATAGGAAGTTTTCCACACACTGATTCCGGCTTGCATGAAGCTCCCACTTCTCCAGATATTTTGTGATGCCATAACCCCTAAAAGTAGGAGGTTCAGAGGCCTTGTGCGTAATAATATAGCGATCCTTGCTCTCGTAAGGGAGCGGATGCGACTCCCCTGTCTGGGGGTCGAAGACTCACCTGTCTCTATCTCTGTCCCTCCAATAAAAATCCCTTGAACTCTCTCTCCAGTCGTCCCTATGCCTATCCGCCATGGTTTCCCTCCGCTCATACTCGGGGGAGCGTCGTCTCGTCGCTTCTCGTCGACCGCTCGAGGTTCCTGTTTTCAATGCCTCCTCCGGCTCAGTCACGACTGGTTCGACCGTTACGTCAGGTTCCCCGTCATTGGTCTGGTCAGCCCATCTCAGAGGTGCTCTCAGCCTAATTCGTTCCTTCAGTCCCCTCAGTGTACGGTCGGACGATGTCCTGTACTCCTCTCCTACTTCGCCCGCGATCGGTGGCTCCATTGTGTCTGATTCCACAGGCTACTAGAACTCGCACCCGGGCACTCTCACCGCGTATAACAGCCCAGACCTATGACCGGCAGCAGCCCGAACCTATGACAGTAGCAGCAGCCCGGACCTATGACAGAACTCGCAGCCCGGACCTGTCTACTTGTCACGGTTCGCTTCCGTCTCCAACCCTAGCTCTCGGCAGCCCTGATCACTGCCACCAGTACTCCGTTCTGGTCGCGGACCTCGTGTTCCCCTTCTATCCCAAGAATCCTTGTGTCCATGTAAACTTCTCCTTCGGGATCTGTCAACAAGGCCGCCCCTCTCCTGATCTACACTACACCCGTAACTGGATCCCTTCGCCTGCTGCAGATCGCGGTCCCAAGTCTAACCAATGTCTCCCGAGTAGCGCCCCGCAACAGTGCTCATGCTTCTATCTTCGTCCTCCTCATAAGACCATCTAGTCCTTCCTAAATCGGGTGGCCCTCAAACGGAGGGAACTCTCCTCCTATCGCCATCTCTTGCCGCTCCTCTCACCATCCTGACAAAGTCCACAATCGGCTCCCACTCATTGTGAGTCAATCCCTTGTCAGGGATCGGGGGTCTAGGCAGGGTATCGAAAATGGTTATGTCGTCACTGACTTCCACTATCTTCCCAAGTGCTTCTAATCTCTGTTTCTCCTCCCTTAACTTACAGGCAGCTATTCTCCAGCACCTTGTGTAGGTACAAAACTCCTCTCTCTCCCTTGGCAAGTATATCTCTATGTGATATGTGTCGAGACCCGGAAAGTACACGGTCATAACATAGAATTGCTTGCGCTCCCAACCACTATTCGCTTCCTGATAGGCAACGACCTCATAAGGAACCCGCTCCTTGCGACTAATCCCGCTTAGTCCCCGTAACAGTCTCTCTCTTTCGTGTGGTATAGGTCCACTCCATCCACCAAACTTCCATCTCCTCCGTTGCAGCTCCTCGGGAGGTAGGGTCATCTGTCTAGCATCTGAGACACGTCAGCGCTATAGCTGCTCGTAATCTCATCACCGACAACTCTAATATATCATAGAACGCCTCAAATTGTCCCTCATCTCCACTATCCTCTATGGCCTCTAAAGTCTTTATCGATTCCCTCTAGTATCGGTCGTAAGCAGCTAGCACCCTGAGTATTGCTCCGTCTACTATAACTTTCCCTAGCTCCCCAGCTCTCCTGGCTTCGCTTATCTTCAACCTCTCAGCCTCTCTGGACGTGTCGTACCACGCCCTTATCTGAGGCCGCCCTTCGAAAGGTGTTATGCGAAGTACGTATTTTATCCTTCGACCTCCTTCCACTCCAATCCCAAGTCCTGTTCCCCTCGCCTCTCGCAGTGCACGGCGAACATACTCTACCTCCTCAACTATGCACAACCTGGTATGGAGCTGGAGCTCTGCGATCACTAACACCAACGGTCCGTCCAGTCTCCCTACGACATGCAATGAGTACCTGTCCGTCGTGTATAGTGCAGTCTCGCTCATATCCTGTTGCTATCCCCCTTCGTTACCTTGTCCTCCGTTATTACGTCCTCTGCAGACTATTCCTTAGCTCCTTCGCGCGATAGGTTCCTAGTCTTTACCCTCTCCAGAAAGTATGATCTCCACGCCTTGATAATCTCTCTATCTTCCCTGAACAAACTCTCCAACTCTTTCGTCGCGAGCTTAACCCTACGCAGCTTGCCCTCATCCTGGCACGACCCGATCTCCCTTATTTTGTTTCCCAACTCCTTTACCTGGTTCAAGAGTGGTTCTTTAATGCGCTTTCTCACTCTTCCGACCGCCTCACTTTCCTCTTCCATACTCTGTCCACACCTCTTTCCAACTCATCCTCATACCCTCGCTCTAGCCTCTGCTACCGTCTCATCGTGGTAGTGTTCCACGCGCATATAACCATGAGACCATATCATCACATCATAAGAAATCGAGGTCTGGAAGGTCACCTGCGCCAGTATATCAACTCTATGCTCGCGGATCAAATCCCTGGCTCGTAGTCGGCACTCCCTCACCGTCAAGTCCTCATCTATGTATGCTCGGAGAAGTACCGTCACAGTGTACCCTGTGCTTACCAGTCGCTTATCTAAGCGCATCACAGTTGTCGTTCTAGCCGGCATTCCCTAAGCTGCGTCCTCGAACAGAAACCTCACATCCTCCAGCCCCACATAATCAATCTCCGCTCGTCTCCTGCAGTACCTAATCAGATCGACTGGCCTCAGACAGTCCACCCAGCAAGTAACGTCTATGATGTCACCAAGCATCTCCTCGCTGGGTGGCCCCCACCTTACACAAATGGCGTAGTACGCTTCCCTGAAACGGGGAGCTAAGCCCTCCCAAAGCGCGTAAAGTTTGTGGTCCACTGCCACACTCAGACGGTCTACGCTCCCGTAGGTCTGCCCTATTACAAACGCAGGAAGTCCAAATTACCAACCCTCTTCCGGGTAGAAGGTCGGATGCGGAGGTCCGTATACCAAGCGACTCCAGTACGACCTTCCTCCTGAGAGTCTCGCCAGTTGCTGATTAACGATCACTCTGACCAATAACTCGTTTCTCCACCAAGCCCTGCTAGCCCGTGCGAGTGTCAGCCCTACGTCTAAATCATGAGCTCTGTTCGTTATCAGATGTCCCACCCCTTCTAGGTCATGAGTCCTTTCGGGTCGTCTATCTTTCAGTATCACCGTCCAAAGGAAAAGTCCCTTTGCCAGCCGCGTTCCAAGGTAACGTATCGGAACACAACCAGTCTCCTCTAACCTCACAGGAAGAGGAATATCATATCCAACAGCCATCTCTCTGGGCCTTACAAGTTTCCTCACGCTATAGGATTCAGACTCTCGTGAGAGAACATAAGCTAGCCAAGCCGTCGAGTCACTCCTCATCACTCAAGCTAACTCATCAACTCAAGTCGCCCAATCCCTATGGGCTAAGTCCTTGACAATAGGACCTCTCGTACCTTCGCTCTCAATTCCAGCCCGTGACTGACGAAGCAGGAATCCCTTTGTCTCTCACTGAACTCTGTCCCCAGACGCGGCCAATGGATGCTACCCTCCTCAGGCCCATCCTTGGGCTAGTCCTCTCCGAAGAGATCCGCCAACCCTAGGTCCGGCTGTACCCGGATCCTACGGCCGTCGTCGTCAAAAATCCACTGGCTCGATTCCTCCTCTAGCCAGTCCTCATCCGCTTCCCCTATGTCGTGGTACCCGTAGTGACACTCGAGCTCGTTGATCCTAACAAGTCCCTCGTCCAGCCAATATGACTCGTCGTCAAACAACGTGGCCACGCCTCCCAAACGGTCAGTCCCCCTTGATAGAGCACTCCAGAATATGTCGTAGGGGAAAGGCTCCCCCTCGGACGCCCATAGGTATACGAACGATCGGACAAACTCCACAAGCTTTATAGGGTCCTCCCCGTCTGCGAAGCCTCGCAAGAGTTGAGTAGAGTAGAAAAGTCGCCTCTGGACATTGCTCTGAAAAAGTCTCTCAAGCTCCTGGGTAAGGAGATAACTCTGCGCCAGGCTCCCTATCCCACCGAAGAGCTGATCCACTACGAACAAAGGGATCACTGCCGCTACATCGAAGAATCCCTGTGGATATGGAAAGTACCCTGGCGCTGCTAAGGTTAAGTGCCCCCTCACAGGACACGGTTTGGTATCTCTACACCACGGTCTGCGCCTCTCAAAGAAGTCCTCATCGCCTCTGACTGTGTCCCTAACCTCTGCGTCGAGAATGTCCTCCGCCTTGCGT